CACACACACAGACGTACACACACAGACACACACACACAGACACACAGAGACACACAGACATACACACACAGACACATACACACAGACATACACACACAGACACATACACACAGACATACACACACAGACACATACACACAGACGCACATACACAGACACACACACAGATACACAGACACACAGACACAGACACAGACACACAGGCATACATACACACACAGACACACATGGACACACAGACGTACATACACACACACAGTCACACACACAGACACACACACGTACACACACAGACACACACACGTACACACACAGACACACACACAGACACACACAAACACACAGACACATACACACAGATGCACATACACAGACACACACACACACAGACACAGACACACAGACGTACATACACAGACACACAGGCATACATACACACACACACAGACATACATAAACACAGACACACACACACACACAGACACACACACAGACACACACACACAGACACACACACACAGACCCACATACACAGACACACACACAGATACACACACAGACACAGACACACAAACGTACATACACACACAGACACATACACACACACACAGACGTACATACACACACAGACACACACACACACAGAACTCCAGGACCTCGACATCTGTGATTTGTGTCCAGGAGGGGCGCGGGCGAAGGGGCAGAGAGAGAGTGGCTTCTAACTGGGGGCGCCTGAGATGGACCTTGACAGTCAGAGTGGAGACAAGGGCAGCGGGCGGAGAGAATGACCTAGCAAAGCAAGACGGAGTTCGGGGATGGGAGAGGTCTGGATGGTGGGAACACAGAAGGTTAGCGGGAAGACAGGGGTGAAATGCCAGGGTCCAAGACCTCTGCAGTAATGGGGAGGAATTGCCAGTGTCTGAGCTACCAAGACTGGCCACTGTCCTGATGGGAGGTTTTGGGGAAGGAAGATAGAGGGGAGCAGATGTTGTACCTCAGAGATGCAGGGGGGCTGGCGGATGGGCCCTGCCCTGGGTCTCCAGAGAACCCTGCTAAACCAGAGTGGACTCCTGTCCTCTCAGAAGCAGGGACTCCTCCCTGCAAAGCCTCCAAGAGCGTCGGGGCCAACCCCTCCCTGGGCATGGGTCAGACGCAGAGAGAGTCAAGGGCCCTGGAGGAAAGCTGGACTGACTTCCACGCCCAAGGGCAGATTCAGGATCGCCTCTGGGCCCTGGTGTCCTGCCACCTCCTCTCCTCCCTGGGGCTTGTGGGCTTAGAGAGCAGGAAGGCCAGGTGAGATGCTCAGAGAAGCACATCGAAATGTGTCCAGAGGCCGGGCGCGGTGGCTCATGCCTGTAACCCCAGCACCTCGGGAGGCTGAGTGGGGCAGATCACCAGAGGTCAGGAGTTTGAGACCAGCCTGGCCAACGCGGTGAAACCCTGTCTCTACTAAAAATACAAAAAGTAGCCAGGTATGGTGGCATGCCTGTAATCCCAGCTACTCGGGAGGCTGAGGCAAGAGAATCGCTTCAACCCGGGACGTGGAGGTTGCAGTGAGCCGAGATCATGCCACTGGACTCCAGCCTGGGCAACAGAGCAAAATTCCATCTCAAAAAACATAACAAACAAAAAGGGAAATGTGTCCAGAGCAGGGGTAGACAGGCATAACAGCCAGGGCCAGGGGAGGCCTTGAAAACAAAATCAAGGTCTGCTGCATTCAGGGTCTTCTGCTCCCTGTGTGAGGGGCCAAGTGGGGCTCAGGAGCCCGGTGGTTTTGACGTCCATGTCTCAGGCCTAGGGTGAAAAGGGGTGGCAGAGGGTCCTGTGTGCCCTGCAAGGCTCACAGAGGCCCGGGCTTGTTTTGCAGACATCGCTGAAGGAAAGTAGGCAAACTTGCAGAGCCCCAGGCTTGTACAGGGAAGGACTCCCTTCTGAAAGCGTAAAAGAGTCTGGGGAGGCCGGGCGCGGTGGCTCACGCCTGTAATCCCAGCACTTTGGGAGGCCGAGGCGGGTGGATCACGAAGTCAAGAGATCGAGACTATCCTGGTCAACATGGTGAAACCC